TTTTTTCGCTATTTTCTTTGTTATTTTCTTTGTTTTCTTAAGGCTACTAGCCCCCTAAACCCTTTGATTCACGGGATGAACCTATTGTTCTCTTTTGTTCTTTTTACTGTTATATAGCCCCTAAACCCAAAATGCTCGGACAGACAGACGGACGGACGCAAGGGGGTATATTATAATATGCCCGAAATTCTTTCGGGCATATAAAAAGACAATATTTGGTGTACTGCATACAAAGATGTGGTATTTGAATATTACGATTGTGTAAAATGAATTTTTCAAGACAGACAGAAAGTTGTGACACATGCAGTTGCAAAAGATCGCCTAAGATCAGTGGAAAGGATGAAGTTTTTCAAGATTTTGATTAATATAATACGTATAAGTACTCTTTGTGTGGTTGTGGATGTAATTATGCATAGTGAAAGTTTTAGTAGTAAATATTAGTGTAATTCATTGGACATTTTTGTTTGTACAATATTATTACTTGTTTGATCACATGTTTAAATATACTATTACTACAATGTCACTTCAGAAGAATATTTATGAAATTATTATCCAACAGCAAAACAGTGTGGTTATATGTTAAGAATACTCATTCGTTTTTCATGAAATACATTTTTACATGTTTACCTTGTTAAGCCGATTACCCTGCATGAAACAAAATATCTTTATTCTATCAATAATTGTGAAAATTCATTCTTTATTTATAAAAAATAAGCCAACAATATACAAATATAAATAAATAGTATTGACACAAGACAAATAGTGACAGGCAGAACGTATTAAGTGACAACAGTGACAATAAAAACAGACAAGTTACACAGATATACAGAAGTGAAAAACTATGGATATTTTGAATTTGTTATGTGAACGTTATAATTGCATGGTAGCAATAATCATTTTGTTGTGGAATCAAAAATTATATAGATGTTCTTCTTGAAAGGCGACATCGGAAACCACAACGTCAGAAAGATTGAGGCAACATCTCAAGAAAAAAGCTTTAAAGAGAGTCGAGCGTTATAAAAAGAGTTTGAAGTTTATTAGTGTGATTTGATACCTTCTTCTTTTTGGTTCTTTTAATCTTGAGGATGCATTTCTATGTCAAATATAATTTAGTGTATATAGATTAACATTACACTCACACATGAAAAAAGAATGTATAAACATTGGAAAACAAATAAGACATTTAAGAAAATTTCAATGAAGTTCTGATGATTTTAGAAACAGATTTGTCGCTGATGTGATTTTGTAAATCATGTAAAATGCCAATTATTTTCCGAAAAAATCTTCTCTAGAAAATAAAAAAATAAATTAGGTTCAAGAAATGTAATATTCTAAAAAAACCCATTTCCCCCCGTTAACACGTCCCTTCCTAATTCAAAAAAACAATTATTAAATTATACATACTTTAATTTATATTAATTTTTAAATGAATATCATTTTCCCCCAAACCCCATTGCATCTTTTCTTTTTTTAAAATTTCCTTAATTCATATTTTTGTTTATTCTGAAAGGCTTTCCGCCCGAGCGTAAAAGGGACTTTTTGAAAATTTACCGAATTGGCCCCAAAAACTTTTCCGCGTTTTTTTTCATGTTTGACCCAAGCAAAAGCTTTTCCTAAAATTAAAAAGCGTTTTTTTACTTAGTTCGAAATTTTTCCCCAAAAATTATGAACCAAAAAAATTTTTTTTTAAAAATTTATTGGTCTAAGATTGCCTTATATAAAATAGATAGGGCATTTTATTTGGGAACAACTAAATAAAATTAAAAACCAAGACAAAAATTTTATTTAAATTTTTACTTTTTGCATTTTGTGGGGTAACCATTTATAAAGGAATTTTTTTGTAAAATTTTAAAAACTATATTGAGATTTGTTCCATTTAACATTTTTCCCCTAAAAATTTTTAAAAATCCCCAAAAAGGGAAAAAATATTTTTTAAAATTTTTTAAACCCCTGATACCAGGAAAAGTAAAAAAAAAATTTAAAACAAACCCAAATTTTATTTGCCCGTAAAAATTTTACCCTTTCTCCCGGCCCCTTGAAAAAAAAACCAAAACAAATTTTTAAAAAATTTTTTTAAACCCCTATACTACTGAAAAGAAACATGCCATGATGTTTCTACGTATATAAAATATGTATAGAATAAATACCGTGAAACATTCCGGACTCATCAAAACTATTTAAACGAAGTATAAAAAATACACTACGCTTTATGAAAACTATATTAATAAACCACTTTACAAAATATAATTATATTAATGCTATAACGAATCTACCTTTCAACTTTAGAGCATTCTTGATATAGCAATTATAATTTGCTTAAAATCTCAAAATGAAAATATTATTGTCGTCCAGGCATTTAATGTAAAAGAAAACAAATCAATCAGGACATAAAAGTCAGAACAAATCTATAAAGAATGAAAAAAGTTGTAAATAATAATAAAAAAGAAAGAAGATAAAAGGAAAACAATGATGTAACAATAGAAAGCACTAAGCAACAAGATATTAAATATTAAATAACATGATATAAAATATGTGGTTTCACAGTTTAATAACGTGCATCTTACTGTAACAAATGAAACAAAAAAATAATGTTCAAACATAATCATACTGAATCCAATAAACATTTCTCAATGGAAAAATCTTTAAGAGTACGTTAACGTTTTCTGTGATTAAAAGGTTAACTGCCCATTCTATTCTGTCTTGAAAATTATATCAAGAACTATTAAACTTGAGAGTGTTGCTTCTCCGGGAGCAATGTAATTTATTCCGCCCTGTTTCATTTACAAACAAAATAACTTCACATCTTTGAGAGAAGCCGATGTTAGATTACAACATGTGCCATATACTAACACTTTACTCTTCGAGCAAAATTTGCCTTAGATAAATTCAACAAAATATCTCACGAAAAACGTTACAAAACGAAGGGTTGAAGCCGTTCCGATCCAACTGTAACTAAAATATAATAACATTCTAAACTAAACATTCTTAATTGATGCATCACAGCCACCTGTAATTAGAGTTTTATTTTCAGTTTGTGCCAAATGTAAGCCATAGATGGCTGAAGAATTGAAGTTATGTTGAGACATTTCTAACATACACTAGAACATACGAAAACAGCAATCAAAAACAGCAATCAAATAGTTTTCCCAATTGATGTACATGTATATTCTGTAACATATTGTCAAGTAATCAGGTGCTCATTGACCTGTTTGACTTTATTTGAAATTGGCTTATACTAACCATCAACATTGAAGATTTTATTTGGCACAAACTGAGCATTCATACTTGTTAACAAGAACTAGTTAATCAATATAGCCATTCAACTAACTTAGCCGACTGTTATATTTACCCAGCATTCCTCATTGATTTTTTGATCATGAAAAGTCTATTGATTGAATTTATATGATTAGATATATGACGAAGAATCTAATGTAAGAGATAGAATATAGAAAGAAGCATTGACAACATAAATAGCCCTCAATCTTAACAAACTTTTGAAATATAGTAAAAGTGTTACAAAAAAGAAATTGATAGAGGTATCAAAGAAAGTGCAATCTCCATATAAATAATTATTCTTCTACGTTTTTACAAAGCAGGAAAGATATACCAATAAAAAAGGCGAGTTATCAATTACAGAGTATAAATCGTATATTTATATCATAACGTGATAGTATAGTATTTCAAAAGCATTCTCAACTATGATCTTTTAGATAGATATATAGTTACATTTTAAAATTAGCATTACGAAAAGACCCATTAGCATTGTCTATTAGACCCATTAAACAATGCTAGATGAAAAAATATATATAATAGAAAAATGCGATAGTGATATTTAAAAGTATTAAACATTAAAAAGAACTAAAAAAGCTCGCACAATAGTTTAAACTGTGCTATAAATATTAAACGTCACACTTTCCAGTATAAACAATTTGTAGCCACAAACATGTATAAATGTATAAAAATTCATACATTTTATGAGATTATGTAAGTAACATAAAGAGAAATAAAAGACATTGATTTCGAAAGGTGCAATGCAACAATTTAGTCTCATATGTTAATCAAACATAACCATTTAATAAAACAATTTTTTTAAACTTTTTATTATCAACTCTTTCATAATAACCTCGCCGAGCTGACTAAAGACAGAGATATAAGTGACAATTTATTTTCTAAGTGGTTTATTTTGATAGCTACTAAGAATTTGGCAGACGAAATAGTCTTAGTAATATGAACACAGAATATAAACAAGATTACTTACTTTTCTTTGATAGAATTTGTAGACACCTGCATTCTATCTCTGACAGCCATGAAGAAAACCTCTTCCCGCGTTGAGAAGAAGTAATCGAGTAACGATTGCTGTAAGAATCAACATATGGTAACAAAATGGTATAAATGGTATGAATACAACTGTCATATGAACCTGTAACCTTAATTTAGTAGACTTAAAATGTCAAAATCATTGGTAAATATATATAAAGTTAACTACACACGCTGAAAAAGCTCAAAAAGCTCTTAGTTTTAAAGAACAATTTATGCCCTTTAATCTACATGTATATTGATTTTTCAAATTCTAAGGGTCACTTTATAATTGAAACTAGAAAACCCAAAATAAATAAAAAATAAATGTTTTTAGATCATACTAAAAAGGTGAATGCTGTCTTACTTGCACTTCTCTGTTTGCGTTAAAGAGCATGATACTGACAAACGCTAGAACTTCACGCGCTATTGCGTCACTACGTCTCGCCAAATGAGGAAGTACTTTATTAACTACATCATGCGCATTTATTGATGTTTGTATTTCCTTAATATGTGCTAGTTGTCTGTAAATACATATAAAATATTTATATTAAAACAAGAGTGGTATCTCAAAGTTCAGCTAATTACAATAAGACATTAATTCGATGCTGTATCTTTATGTTAAACATGTATTTGAAAATCACGACATAAAACTTAAATCTAAACGCCTTATCATTTATTGCCCTTTTAAAAAAAATGTGTTTATTATCTTCAGCATTACTTTTTAACTTTTGCATCAACAGCAGAACTTGTCCAATCATCAGGTAGTTTTCTTTCTTCATTGTGAATTAGAGTTCGCAGAATCTGTAAACATTTCACGTCCAGTTCTTCTTGAGCTCTTGATGACGACACTGCAAAGCGGATCTTCTTTGCCGATATTCTGTTAAAATACAGACAATATTTTTTGGTTCTCTTTGATTAAACTGAATAAATGTTATACTACAATTATATGGGCAATGGAACAAAACCTTCCCGCTCTGAATCAGACCTGCATCTTCATTTACAAAACTGCAATTTTTATTTATGTTATTCTGAAATTAACTTTTCTATTGTTTTAAATTACATCTGACCCCATGTTCAAGATCAGGATCAAATTTAACAACTAAACTATTCCTCATTGTTTATCCTCATAGATTAAATATTTAATGTTAACTTTCATAAAATTGGACTTAAACTAGCATGTTTATGAAATTTCAAAATACATTTACTGATTTCTACAATACATGTTAATTTTACAGTTGATCAAAATATTGATCTTGATACTAAAATTGATCCGTATTTTGTTCCGATTATTTTCTGTTTTGTTACTCGTCAATTTTATCGCTTCTTTGCAAATCAGACTTCTTTAACGTTTTGTTTCTGTACGATTTAATTTTAAGCAACATACGACCAATTTTAGTTTTATAAAACAACGAAAATAAAAGCAGAATCATTTGATCCTGATCCTGGCATTTTTTAAATGAACACGGGCCAAGTCGTAACGTCAGGTGGAAGATTTTGTTCTTTTATTTAGTATTCGATATAATATAATTTTTAAAAATTGAAAACGGATAAATAAGCAAGCAACGTACAAGCACTATGAGCACAAAAACAACATTTATAACAAAGGAAAATAGAGTATATATTACAAAATATAATCATTTCATTGAGCAAAACAAAGTAATTTTACAAGCAAATAATATCCTAAACACACATTTTTCATATAAGGAAATTATTTTCTGAAAATGTCTAATATATATTTTTCCATATTGCGAGATGTTACACAATATTATAAAAAACCTCTTTATTAAATCTGCTGAAAATGAAATTGTAATATTCCGTTACCAATCCAATTATACCACATTATACCATGCTACATAATTGTTCAAATCCCACAATAATACTCTTTACACCCATGCCGTATCTAAATGTTTCAATATTTGTCTTTACAAAAGAATATCATTTGGCAAAATACATGCAATTATAAAGATATCATAGTGAGTTCTAGATAAATATATTACCTATTAGTATGGATAATGTATATATAGATACATATAGTACTCCAGTAAATAGATGTGAAAGGCCTACAGTATCATAAGCAAATCTGAATATAAGGATAATGCAACCATATACATGAATGTTCCATATATGTTATGTGAATCTCCAAATACTAAATATAGGTGATGATGCAAGCAAATACGTTCTATTATCGTTCCATGTTCTGTTAAGGAACACACGGGCTATATATAACATTGACCCTGATTCACGCGTATTCAAATTACATACCCTGACTTTTTATTTCTGCTTCTATAATTGCACGCCCCTATTCTAAATTACAAGTCAAAAAGTTAAAATACTAATAACTGTATAAAATTCAATAATAGTTTGAATACATTAAAACACGCATAAGACAATATACAAAAACACAGTTTTAATAAATATAGGCTAGACAAAACATGTAAGTACTCCGTCGAAATTTATATCCCTAATATGATCGTTACTCTATTTTTTTTAAACTGTGGTTAAATTAGTTTTCAGAAAAGAACATACAGTAAAATAATAAAAGCAGACGACAACATATTTGGTTGTAACACATTTTCAACATTGTGTGGTGTTTTCTTGCAAGTTTGTAATCAGAGTACATACACATTCCGTTGACTATAAAAAGAAACATAAGAACAAGAGAAATTGTAGTTAAACTGACAACAAATAAACAAAATCTACGTACATCACTAAGAATATAGTTCATTCCCACACAATCACTACATTCATACATACATTGTGTTACAGAATTATTTTATAAACATTTAAAAGAAAGCAAAGATAAAGCTTTTATAACTCGATCAATTAAATAATATGTTTATCAATACAACCATGAGGACCTAATTTTTGAGTAGGCTTTTTATCTTTGTTTTAAAACATTACAGTAACTCTTTACATAACATCAAATCTGATTAAAGTCAACTTTGGCAAATCAATAACAGTCAAGTTCATTTATGCCACACTAATACTATTAATATTACTCAAATACTTACGCTAGCTGTTCCAATAATTTTCTTGTCAATGCATATCTTTTGTTTGGTTTCTTCTCTTTTTGGTCTATAAAACACTTGACTAGATTTTGAAACTCTTCACCAAGAGGCAGTTCTTCATTACTACCTAACTCTGTGTATTCTACAGTTACAAAACAAAACTGCATTTAATTATTTTAAATAAATATGAAGTATAATGTCTTATCATTTTGAGTGATTCAACCTTTTTATTACATGTAGGTTATTTAGACTCATAATATCGGTGAATATCACTATTTCTTCATGCAACTGAACTTCTCTTTCAACTTACTAACCTCTCTTTGACTTGCTAGACTTTAACTGCTGTTGTACTGTATTATGACCAACATGGACTCGGCTGCTGTTCTGAGCAAATGTGTGAAATTTGGCATTTAACTCCAATTCAGCGGCATAATACTCCATGTTACCCTGGAACATATTAATATGCCAAGAAAAACGTTTAACTTTGCTGCATTTCATTTCATAAAAAACGCATTTATAGTTTAACAGTTGTGTTATATAGACTTTAGTTGGCAGAAAAGTTATCTGTTTTAGATCTACAAATCAACAATAAACGTCAGTATGACCTTTTAAAATTACCCAAACAATTTCAAAGCAAAATTATGCATTGCTAGAAAAACTATAATACGTTTGCTTTTGTTTAATGCGAACAATAGTAAAGTGGATACCTTTCTAACAGCGCTTTTTGTGTCCCCTACTTTCATTTCAGATGTGAATTTTTCTAGCACTGTTACCAGTAACTAAAAAAAGTAAAATTGTTTATTTTATTAAGATTTAGATAGAACATACTATGTATACAATTGTTTAAAAGGTAGTGTCAATTGTAAAAAATACGAATTTAAATTACTTTAAACGATATTATTTAAAATTAGAATCAGACAGAAAGAAAGACAACCAAAGTATATGAAGGATCTTAGTTTGATGAAAACATTTTGTCATTTACGGACTTTGTTACGATTACATATTACATTTTTGTTGATACATACTGATTTTGGAGTACTGGATGAGGTCACAACTGACGTCACTGAGGTAACTAAACATTTCATATGAGCCGGATTTGTCAGCATTGAACCAACTACATCAGAGAATGCCTGAAATCATGTTTCATTGTAAACAAATGTTAAAGTTTGTAAATTTAGATATTTTCCGATAATTGATTGCAATTCGACCATGTTCTATTTCAGATGTCGAATTCTACTAAAATCGTTGCAAGGGGAAATGGGTGGTAAATGCCGTCCATGAGCAGGTTCAATTTAACTGAGTCTGTGACAATTTCAATAGCGTAAGGCGCCCATTAGCATTCCATATTTTATCATAATCTACTGTTTATCCATTCAATACTCATATAAACATTTCGTAACAGAATATCAAGTATTTGGAAAAATGTATAAAAGTACGTACATAAAAGAGAACACAAATGATTCTATTTTTAATTAAAATTCACATATAAAATGTTACCACTAAAGCTGTAGCTAAGCTGTCAGTGTGGAATATTTCATCTGGATACAGATCTTTATCTGGTGAGAAAAATGATGTGTAAAATACCTGAAATATATATTTAAAAATTATTTTATCTGAAAATCGGATATCCAAAGGAAATTATACCTAACAAAAATTACTTATACGTTTGTAAGATTAAATTTCTAACTAGAAAATTAAAAAATGAAATGTTACAACAGAAAATAAAATTGTAATAAATCTAATAGTGACACTGTTTATAAAAAATACCTCTAAGAATGGCATTACTCCTTCTAAGATGTAGTATATTCCACTATGTATTAAACTACTTGTATCAGATGACACCGCGACGGCACTAAAAAAGAAATAGATATAACAAAGCAAGGTCAGAGAACATCGCGACATACTGAACAAAGTCTTAAAAATGACGTTAAACTTATCTATTCAAAACAAATAACTACTTGGTTGTTTCTAGCAAATAGTGTTTTTACATCTTAAATGATTTTGATAACATGTTAAAAGAAATACAATTAAAATGTCTACACAACCTTATAAGATATGTGTAATTTATTATTATTCCTTGAACATTTCACATTTTTATCAGATACAATTCTCTTGAAAATGCATTTTTTTACATAGTATGTCATTACACAGTGTATAAGGTCACTTATACAAACAAAACACCTAGGCATACCTCTTGGACGGAGACATTTTCAATAAATCAGTTGTTCTATCAGACATGCCTTTTACGGATTCGGATAACTGATTGATCTCACCAATAACTGTCCCAATAAAATCCCAGATTTGTCTGCAAGATAAAATATATAATATATATAAATGTATAACATAATCAAACACATTACTTAATATATATACTTTCCAGATACAGACTTTTTAGGAAGTTTGTTCTGGCCTGTGTTTGAGATACGATACAATTAGCGTTTATGGAGATTCCTTTAAGAGTTACGTTTCTATATCAACAACTTCATTGTAAAATGTACACACAATCTACTCATTCAATGATTGGTTCTTTAGATTGGCCAAAATGTCAAAACATGATTGATTACTTTTGAAGTTTTCAAAAAAAAATGTTCAAACAATTTCATTATTACACAGTCAGTTTAAAATGTAAGCACCTATGTGCAGAAATGTAAGGTCTTTTCAAGACACAATCAAAACATTGTAAGGATACTGTCTTACTTGTGATGTTGCAGATCAGCTGCTCCACTCTCAATCAAATTCTCAGCAGGTTTCATGTAGACCCACATCATGAATTTAATGAAAGGCCTCTTGATGTTACAATCGATGTCTTGGTGATTGATTACCCAAAGAATTTCCTCCACGGGGAGAATAGTCTGGCATAACGACTCAATAAACTTGTTCTCGCCCTATTAGAGAAAAACGTAGCAACTATAGCAGTAATTAAGATAAGTACACACATGGTTCTTTGATGATTTTTAACTTAAAAGTTCTGCTATTTTTGTTTTGTAAAAAATACTTAATACAAAAGCGAACGAACATTTTTGCATGTTTTCTTTAACAGCATTAAGCATAAAAGAAAACGATGCTGTATACAAAACAAGAACAGTAACTAGAGAATTATGCACGATTTACCATTTTACATTTTTTGAAATACACGTGCGGTCGTTAGGATTATTGACGCCAACAGTTTACAAAGATTATCGATAAAAATTTAGATGACATAAGTAAATAGTTAAGTTATCTAGTTTATTTGATTTGACAGAAATATTTGCAGCCTATCAACATTAACCTCGGCACATGTTGCTAGAAGATCCACCAAGTGGGCAAAGTAGGCTAAATGTCCTTCTTCAGCTTGGTTTGTCAATATGTGTTCCCTAAAATTATAAAATGTGGAATACCTATTTAGTAAAATAGATAGCATATACAAACTCAAATAGGTTATACAAATACGTATTTATTAATAGCGTAATTTCTTTCCAGAATATGATCAATGTTGTTTTTTTTCATTCAGATTTTCAGTGTGGAAAATATGATAGAATTTGCAAGTGAGATTATAAATAACATTCCTGATGCTTGTTTGTGAAAATGACATTAATCATTGTTTTGGACATAGTACATAAATAATGAAATGCAAAATCCTAACATAACATTTAAAACAATATTTGTGATCGCAATATGTAACATGATTAAAAAAAGTGCATACTGAATAAAGAAATACATGCAGTGTTCCATACATGATAAAAAGCGTTTTAAGATAAAGACATAAGAAAGCTTTTATAATGTACCAAACGTAAAAAAACGTAACACTTTTGTCCTGAAAAAGAAATGTGCAAAATAAATGCAAAAGCACAGACTGTTGTAATTAATGAATACATTCTTCCAGATACATTTCACTAAATTTAAACCCCATTGAGCAATACCTATAGCTGTGTCTAAGAACCACAATTGAAGGTTAAAATAAAATGCACATACCAATAGGGTAATAGTAAAGGACCGGATAAATTGCTTCGTCTGAAATGTCAAGATTAGTGCATTTGCATGCTAATAAAAGAAGTATAGAACTCACGCCCCTGAACAGATTGCTTTACTATAATGCATTAGAAATTCATTACATCACCAGAAGTTACGGTCTCATTAACAAACACCATTCCTTTCACTGCACCAATCAACAAAACGTGAAGTAAATAGGGAGCAAACAACGTGTCGCGTTTGTAATCTCGCACGGTTACTAAATTTGTGTTTTTATGATGAATTAATTACAGCGATAACACGTCTTTGACATGTTATTACTATTCCAGTATATTGACCGAATTACAGATACTAACGCAGGAAATGCCTTCAAAGTGATCAACAACTTATTGCCCCTGTGTGATATGCGCGCTATTAATTAAATTCATTTTTTATATAAGCATTGCTTGCAATGTTCGTGAAGACATAGTAAATATGTATCATGAAGTAACAAACTTTTGCAAAAATATTTGATTTATTTTTGTGCCGGTGCCTTCATTTTGAGCTGATTCAATTTCAAAATGTAACTTGTTTAACCCTTATGATAACATAGCAAATGTTTTTACAGTCATTTGTTCTAAAACATACATGTTGAGAAACAACTATGTCGTGTATATCTGCAATGACAGAAAAACCAGTCCCAATTGTTGTTTTTACTACAATTTCTATTTCAATGTACTAAACATTCAAATATCTTTTATACGTTCGTAAGAAAACAATAACATACACGAATTCGATCATTCATTAGTATCAATACTATTCGATAATGTAAGTGTGACACAGTCAAGGATATGAATTGTTTAAGTGTCAGATATATAAAAAAATTTGCATTATTTCAATAGCGCGAAAAATCGAGTATCCTTTAAAAACCGATAGTGAACTTTGTTACTACTAAAACATTCATAATTAAAAACTTTTAACCACAACTGCCATATAAAACAAAATGGCTCGAAAATACATGCTGCATGTCACAAAGCATTTTCTTTACATAAATTGTTTTGAATAAATTCACAAACATGTATATAAAGCAGTGTCATTACTATACCAACTGCCGAGATTACAAAATTTGCGGAAAAGATTTTCATAATCTCATAACATTCTAAGTATGCAAACTATCCAACATTGTTATGTAAATAATAAGCAAACCTGATAAACTCAGTTATCAGTTTAATCGACATGAAGCATTGTCAATTATTTGCAAACAAACTATTATATTTAAATCCAGTAATTATGTTACTTAAAGTGGTGAAATATTATATAATTCTGAAATAATATGTAAGCGTTACTTAAAGTTATTCCGTTACTATGATGACAGCTAGTTGAAATGGCTTAAGAGCTGGTAGTATCTTTTACTCTGTAAAAGTCTTTAAATGTTCTTCGATAACTGATATCATCACACTATAGAGAATTGTTTAACCCTTTCACTGCCATAGGGACGGCTTAAGCCGTCCCTGTTATTTTCGGCGTATTTGCCATATGGACGGCTTAAGCCGTTTCTATAATAATAATAGTAATAATAATAAATTAATAATAATAATAATAAAAATAATAATAAATATAAAGAAAATTATACCATCGACAATAATTATTATTATACTAACAGATTTGGAAACATATATAGTTATTATAATACATATAACAAATAATAATAATTATATTAATTATTAACATTTCATTTCTTAGAAAATCCTCTGGCAAATAGGTGAACAATAAAACAATAACCCTCTGGCAGCGAAAGGGTTAAAATACCATTGGAGATAATTAATATACCATGCACAGTAACATTCAAAGTATTATGTTCGAATAACAAGCTAAAATACATTGTATACATATTAATCATTTTACCTAGATTCCCGTGGTTGGTCGAGAACATATGCTGCTTTTTTGAAATTCTGCATGATATATTTCATCACAAGAGCTTGATTTCTTTTGATGGTAAGATCTAGTCCCTCGACCTTGACAAGCACATTTAACAAATCAAGAAATTCAGACGCTTGGTTTTGATGTTCAGCAGCTAAACGTACTATTTTCTTGATTTGTTGGGGATGAACTTTGAGACAGGTTGCTTGATTTGCGATGAAAACCTTGCAATTAACAAAAAGAAATGTCTTAACAAAAACAATAAAGCACAACTAAGCAATTGTATCCTAGTTTTATCAATAAACGGTACGTTATAGTAGAGTAAAGTTGCAAAACAACTTTCATTTCAGTACACATTTTAAGTCGTTGTCATATTTGAAATGGTTTGGCACAAAAATAAATACTAGTTAAAATATTTTGGTATGGATTATATAAAATCAATGTAAATAATGAAACTATCTCAAAATGCAATCATAATTCCGAGTTGTAACGGCCAAGATGACTTAACGAACTTACCTCTTTCAATGCAAGAGCAAGATCAGATGGCACCACTTGGACATCTAGCAATGTGTCAAGATGGTTAAATATCCTGAATTGCACATTGTCATTTTCCCTGATCAATAACTGCAACAGGTATAATGTCTTCTGGAAGATCACTTTCATGCCACCATATTGCTCTTTCTGCAATAATAAGAGTTTGCTGTTTACCTTTTTTTTGGCTACGAAAGTCCAGAATTTGTGCAGTTTACAGTTTAGAAATTTGGTGAAGGTGGTCAATAGCTTAAAATACTTATACATACCAACAACTTTGCATCAATTTCTTGCGACAGGATATCAAGGACAATGTCAAGGATTCCTGTAAAATAACAAAAAGTATTTGTCGACGGTTTGTACAATGCCTTTCCAAATCGTCAAAATACGATTTCTTTATCGTGTGCAATCATATTTTTGTATAAGTTTACGAGCACTTCTCAGATAGATCGATTGTTGTGTTAAATATTTCTATAAGAATAATTTGGTGTAAAACTAGGCAATTTAGAATAAAGCTGAAAGTAACCGATGAACTGACATTTTACATTGTATTATTTTATATGACGGTACCCGGTGTACAGGACGAATGCCAAAACGGCAGAAAATAGCAAATACTTACCATGACTTATCATTATATTTTGGTTCATGAAATGTGGCTCATGGGGATTTTTTGGCAAATGGCAGAACCTGCAAAAATAATTAGGCATCTGATATGACAGGTGATAGATACTCCAATTTCATATCTACACAATAACAACATATGCGAAAAAATTATTAACATATTTTAAATTTCTTTGCAAATGATATCGAAGCAATTATTTTTATGCTAAAGCAAACACTCGAATCTGCTGAATGTACACGGTTCATTTATATATTCGATAAATATACAATAGAAAGACATTTTATGATTTTAATAGGTTTCACTCAGTGAAGTTAAAGTTGTTTTTTCATTTACATTAAGACAATTGAAAATTTAGAGGATCTTACTCTGCAAGTTCATCTAGAATCTCACTCATTAGTAACACTTGTTGATCATTTAACTTTTGTTTTGCCAGTCGTCTTAGCACAGGTAAACTTCTTTGTACTTCTCGATGAACACGTGCAGAATCTTGTGACAATAAAATCTGAAAAGAAAATTAAATAAAATTGTGTTCGAAAATGCAAGTGTACAAAAACTTAATCAAATCTTTAAGCAATACAAGATTTTGTCACGTTAAACATCTCGAATAATCGGTTGTAAGCTTAAATAACGCAAACTAAATCGACACGTCAATATTGCAAACATCCGTGTTCCTATATATATATAGAATATATATATATATCAATATAATGTTATCAATTGGTTGAACATTGTAAATCTGCTCAGGATTGACGTGAGGCCAGTCAGGCAGGGTTACTTTTTCTTTTATAAAAATAAATTAGTTTTTATCAGCAACCGTGTAACAACTTTAGTTTATTTAATAATTAAAACATACAATCAATTACAATATGGCATAATTCATACAAACCTGAGCTTCCAGTGCTAGGCGGAACATGTCACTCTGAGAAGAGTAAAGTTTATTCAATATATCCAGTGATTTCATCACCATCATGTCATATTTGTAATCAGACAAATCCTGAAATGCAAGTCATATGTCCGTGTACATTAAAACATGTAACTATGTCGGAGCACGCCGATAATGTTCAGCGGACATAAATAATTCAAATCTCTTTTAGGGTAAACAGACCCGTTCATATGATCAATGCATAATACGTTCAACATAAACAATGAAAGAAATTGCTTACTTTGTTGAAAAGCTATGCTTTTTAAAGTTTTAGAAAATAGTATTTTTACGCTTAGTAAATAATATTCATGTCAGTATTTCGTTTATTGTTTCAGTCCTGCCAGTAATCTAAAGAGTGTTAGACATCAACATATATATTGATATAGTATATATTGTTTGAATATGAAGTTAAGATCAACCATGTTAAGACCCATTATATGCCACACGTAATAATGTTGCCAGGAGTGGCTCCGCATAGGTATGAGTTTTCTGTTTACCATCAATACTGTGGTGGTACTTTCTATATCAAATATTGAGGATGCGTGGAACATATCTTTAAGATCTCTTAACACCTCTCTTTGTTTTCTGATTCCTTTCCTGAAATAAATAATGGGATAGAAAACTAACAAAATTAAACAGTTCAAAATATGATACATAAAATATTATTTCAATAATTTTCCTATCATAAAACTCAAAGAATATAAACTAACCATTAACGTAACAATTGAAACCGAAAATGTGTAGCCTTTAATACCAGTATACACAACCAGGCTATTTCCTGTTGGCCCTACATCGATAATGAAAAATTCAAAACACAAAAGCTGCACAAGTCTTTACTAGCCGGTTAAAGTATATACTATAGTTTCAAGCTTACTTTGAAGTATCTATCGGGTTGAAAGACTCATATAACAGTGGCTCAACGGACGTCTGACCTCGTTTTTTGTGTGAGCTCACTTCCGCACCTTTGAACTTTTCAACAAATGTCTGCAAATAATTAAATAAATAAACATAATGGTATAAATTAGAATATACAGCCATAAATATGTGTGCAAACTCTCAATACAGTGTTCAACTCATCTGACACTTAAACTGTATTAACAGAAACAATTTGTTACCAGACAACTCTTATGCTTAATTGTAAGTTGCGTAATATTTGAACGTATGCAAACAACTGGATATTTGATTTGTACAATATGACATAAGGATTGGTCAAATACTGATGTTAACTTATATATTTTCTTCTCACAATTTAAAACGTGAACAATGATAAATGGTATTGACATATAAATCTATGTGAAAATAACGAATGTTATTAACATGAAGTCACATAATTATAGTAAATAAATCTTGTATTTCCGACAACAATCTGATATTGTTTCGTGAACAAGTTTAGCATATTTGCTAGTTATACATCAAATGCTACCACGGGCAACAAACAATCGTCCATAAAACATGGAGAAAACATAAAGTACAAAAAACAATTACATAAGCCTGGCAAATATCATGGAAGAATCTATCATTTTATTGACCTAAGGCTTTTCGGATTTTGTTTACCTTCAAACGAATATTTCTCTGGAACGTCAGTAGGAGATCGAGTACCTCCATTGCCCTGTGATAAAATAGAAATTAAAGGCACGTGTAAATATTGTGTGTGTTTTATCTAAATAATATAAACAATATGTATAATAAAAAGCGAAATAAAGGAATTACGGTTAGTGACTTACTATTGCGAAATAAAAGTTAGAAAGGTGTTAAATACCAATTTATTGCACATTAAATGAAACAAAACCGATAGGTCTAATAACGCTTTATTGCGTATTATATAAAGTAATAAAAGGTTTATTATATCTTTTGTGGTAATACCTTTGTAATGTTATTAAATATATAGAAAGAAGATTAAATGTACTTATTTATTTATTGTAATAAATGAACACTTTATTACATCAAATGTACACAGTTACGATATCATGCAATTTTATTTATTATAACGCTGTATTTAATGTGCTTGTACTAAAATCAATGAAACATATAATTTTAGTAAGAAGGAACATATTATGGAGTTTTAAAATAGCATACAGGAATATTACAAAGCGAATTTTTTTCTCCAGATCGAGTGAAATTTTCTTAATACTCAATACACAATAAATCGGTTTTGAAATATCTTACTGGTATTTTGCTTTAACTATTGCCTCTGATTCTTTGCTGGTTTCAAATCTTCCCGACTCTCTATACTTGTTGACGGCTTTCTGTCCCTCTTTGGAGTAGCCTATTTTTTAAACAATGAAAATGACTCACAATATATATATTTTCATAAAAATGGAGAAAATACCCAGTTTATTCATCTTATCAATTGAATTACCAGGTTGTACTGTTTTATTTACTAGACAAGAGCAATGAGACAAGAGAAAATGAAAATGACTCCTTTTTTGTCCATTTTCATTTTGCGATATTCGACTCGTGCATCTTGGTCAGATATTCACTTCACGTTTCGTGCTTTATACTACTCAAAAACCTTCAGATTAATTTGATATTATAAAATTTTGTCAAAAAACCTTTTTAGTTTTATAGTTTTTGACATGTTTTATGGCATACTATATTAGTAAAGTTTTGTAAGCTTATTTAATCTGAGCCACTTGGTGTGAGTATTACAGTAACCATTTATGCACACCCATAAACAAAGAGTCAAAAGCTTTAATAAATATCATCAATGCTTTAATGTTGTTATCTTTGATAAAAAATAGAATAAATTCATAATTTTAAAGCAGCCTTGCATATCTTTGATAATCAAAATGTCACAATGCCTTACAAATGTTGACAGTACAAATGATCTGCATTATAAAGTATTGCAAACATAGCTATTAACACACCTTTACTCTTGTCTTTTGGAAAAGGCACATCATGCCTACCATCTAACTGACTGAGCAATGGTGTCAGAAGATGTCTGACATCATCAATGTCGCTGTAGTATCCAAACTTCACCAAATGTTGCAACAATCTCAGTACCTTTAACGATCAAATTAAAACGTCATTCATGATTTCTTTTTATAATAACACAAGAGCAAATCTATTTAACATAAAATATGATTTCGTAGACAATGTAACATAATTATACCCGATTTGTCTATACATTGAAACATGTTATAAAAGTGCATAACCACGTATATTTCAAACGTTTGTAATATAAAACATATAACATATAACGATTGTAATATTTTGAAACACAATTAAAAGTCTTCCCAACACAAATATCAATTGAAAGAGCATCGAAACACAAAGCTAACTGATTTGTACTAGGGGCGTAGCATCATGATCTGAATATAATATTTCTATCGCTATCCCTTTCTCTGCCGTCACAATAAGTAAACCCCAGAAAGAAATTAGCCGAGCAATGGACATGCTCTGGAGTGCGGGTAACAAATACCTGCACTCTAGTTAACGCACTGTGCATGTATACTCATATGTATACAATTTAACTCTGACAAATTTTCAACAGAAAGGTCCCCAAACTATGATACAAGAAATACTAGTACTTGTATAACTGAAAATAAGTAATGAATGCGATATACATATCTATTTCTTTGAATTTATGAAAGAGTAAAACTAATTTTGTATAACACATGACGTCACTTACCTGCTCAATAAGTAAATTATGGCCTATATCTGAGGCTGTCATTACACAGTTACTGTTGAGGAACTCTGCCAGCCAATCTCTTAACACAGGAAAAATAGTCACCAAGTCTTTAACAACCTATAATAAACAATGTCCTAAAAATTGTATAATCAATTTAGACATTAGTTTAGTATGATAATAAGTAACTTTTGTAAAACACTGAGGTTAAAAAAGAAAATCAAACATAGTTGCATGCAAATATGTTTCGTGCGAATGCTAACATTGTAAAATTGTGCATGGTGGTCTACATACTGTACAAGTATTTACGACGAAAATCATAATTTAGATTGTTGTTATCACGCAAGAAATAATCGTATTCGGAGAGATCTCCCCGTTTCCAGATTGAAATAAACTTATAAAGACCAATCAAATAATAACCATGTAGGATCAGTCAGTTAAACTAAATCAGCTGAGCTTTCTGTCGAAAATTCATTCCTTAGAAAACATTAAAAAATAAATGTTCACAATATGTAGATAATTTTATAACCGTTAAAACATATTACAAGGAGTTTTTTTACATTAATTTTGTTACTAGAAACTTCAGACTTTTAAAAATATTTAAAGACTGCAACCTGACCACATACCAAGTTTTTTTTATTATTTACAATTCATTTCTGCAATTCAGGCAAGATGTACACATAAGCACAGCGTTACCCAGTAAATGAAATATATTCTTGTATACTAACCAACTATAAACTGTTAAATACACTCTAAATATCGATAAATAAAAATATTCAGAAATATTATAAACTTTATGTTAAAATAAGATAGAATACCAATCACAGTAGTTTTGTTAGAAAATAGATTGCACATAAAATGGAAAGCAGCACTATAACTAGAGTTAATAGTCAACTACACAACACAGTTAACATGCATAAAAAGTAAAATGTACTGTATCTATCAAAAGAAGTAGAGTATAATGTTTAAAGCAATGTGCGGGTTTATTACCTGTGAACTGCCGGATGATCCAGCCGTAGGCTGCTAAATATTAGTAACAAATACGGTTAGTGCACGTTAGGGAAAGGGTGAACATGAAACATCCTATTCTAGCAGATAAGTGGATGGAAATTGTGTTTTAATTTAAAAGGAATGCATACAATACAATGCCTACCTAAAGTGATATAACAGATTTCTCATATTTCAATTTAAATGCTATATTCGAGTGATTAGCGCGAACATACTAGGAATATATCGATTAGAATCGCGTTTTAGAATATTTACAGATACGCTTTCTTCTCAGAAAATATTAATCATAACAAACAAAAAAACTTTACTTCTAGAGGTCAATAAACAAAAGTAAACAGAACAAAAGCATACAGTTGGTTAAATAAATACAAGATGAGCTCGAAAATAATGCAGAGCAAAGCTAATAAAGTAACGCAGAAATAGACAAAACAAAACAAAATTATAAAATATAACAAAACTCATTCTTTATTAGCAAAATAGCCTAAAAGAAAGTATGAAAATAAAACAAATCTTCAAATGCATTTGAAAAGAAACAAAAAGCATTGCATTTATTTCATTTCTTTGAGGTAGGTGAAAAACTTACGAATTGACTTTGTTCTCTTTCTGAGTCTTTTGATCCGACATACTCGTATACAAAACATATGTTCGGGTTATCAAGCACCGAATAATTGTTTCCAACGTCAACAAACAGGCCTACAATGGACACACAACATCGAGTATGAATAAGAAGTAACAGTATAAACTGAAATATATCACGTTTGATGTATCACAAAACATTAACTGTGAATATGCTTCATTTTGAGTAATAAAGTCCTTAGAGAGCTCATATAATTTATCATTGTGTCCAATAAGAATGCAAAATACGTTATTTTGACATTAAATTGTCTGTTATTTCTCTTAACCCGTGTTTGAACTCTTCATTTTCTTGTGAAGCTCAATAATTCTGTTAAGAAATTTCAGTTTCAGAAGTTTCAGATTTAAATAATACATGTAGTATTTCCTATGATAGACATTGCGTTTAGAAAGCGGCAGGACCCTATGATAATATTTGGTCCGAATAAATTCGGTAAAATAGTTGCCAAACCATGATAACATGTTCCATAAAAAAGTGCAAAATCTACTTTCTTGTGTTTGTAAATTACCTATAATAAGTTCGCAGTACTTTGCCCGAATTGAGTCTGGTAAAAGATCAGATGTGATGCAAAGAAATGCGTCTTCCCACGTCAAATAGCCAAACTCCCTTGTTATCACATGTATTGCAAAGTCGTTCCGTCCCTGTAAACATTGATTTGCTATTAATTTGTGTTAAATTGTACAAATATAAAGATATTATAATAATACAGAGCATGAACCAATACTTTTGAACATAATAATTTGTTAACATTCTTGTTTGAGTATATCAAGAAAATATCTTCTCATGAAAATGTTGCAATGTCTACAAAAGAAGTAAGAAAGAGTGGTAGCTTACATATGTCAGTGACTTGAAGAGCTCCAGCTGATGAATGAGGAAGTCGTATTGTCCCTCGTTAAACTCCGCACTGTCCGGCTACAATAATATCATACACAGAGTCACACAAAAATATGTGATTTTATAAATATAAATACTGAAAATCTTTTAATATAACAAAACACAAAATAACTAAACAAAATTAGTAGGATTAAAATGATTAGTTTTCCGCTAATTGAATATCTCTTGAATATGCATGTATACTTTCAAAATTCGAAATTGTTATGCCATAAGATAAACATTTTTAGTGATCTCACTATTGTCATATTTCATTTACTTATTTATTTGAAACACATTTTCAAAGTAATAAAAATGAAAATTTTTGCTAAATATAATTTTAACAGAAAAGATAATCGAACATCTAACTTAAAACAAATGCTCACATTCACGAATTCATGTAGGGTACACCATGACTGTGTATTATTTGTTGAAACATATACTATGTTCGGCCTTTTGTTGATGTTCTGCCCTCGGTCAGTCAAATAAACGCTGTCCTGAAATAGATGAATGAATTATGTCCTCGGGCAGTCAAATAAATACTGCGCTGAAATAGATGAAATTGAAGTATAATATGACCCCCGCCCCTGTTTCAAATAAGGGACAGTCCGGTTTAGGTTTAGGGTTTTCAATATCAAAATAAATTAACAAAAATCGAGCTACAGACAGTATAGAGCGAATGTGAAGGAACAAACCTGGCTCTATAATGGTGGCAAAAACCAATCACTTTAAATTAAGGTTCCAGCAAGTAAAGGTTTAACGCTGACTTACTTTGTACGAACGAAGCCATTTCTCTGTGATGTATGTCTGGTTGTTTGGTATTGAAACACCATCACAGACACACAGAACTTGTAGCAAGTCAAGAAATCTGTAATTCTGAAATTGAATAATACATTATATACAGTACACGTTTGGTATAACACAAATTATAAACACATTTTACATCAATGTGTGAATAAAAATACATTTGTACCTAAAACATAACTGACAAAAACATAACTGCACTAATGTATTTTCACAAATTTACAATATAATTGAACTAAAATAAGAATAAAATCATGTCATGTTACCTGATGTTTTCTGAGTAGATCAATATAGATGTCTAGATGATGATTTGTTATTCTATCCACAATCTTTCTTTTGTCTCGTATCAACTCGACAATCATCTGTGCCACATATAGACCGATACCACCCTAAACATATATACTATATTGTAACTTTTGAGAATTTACACAAAGATGTTGAACTATATTCTTAGATAGTTTAAAATAACAAAGATGATGCTGCATTCATATCCACACACTATCAAAGCATACTGACACGATATCTCTAAGTAAATGTTCAAACATTGAAATAATTTGTATAAACATTTAAAGATATAATGTTATAATCATTATTACTTTTTGAGTAAACTGTGTTTGGAAGAAGTCGATATATTTGGCAAAGTAGAGGGCGTTTTTTCTGCTCTTCCCAATCATGTATGCATGTAGGACATCATACGCCTCCTTAAAGATCCTTATCATGTGAGGTTCTTCGTCGCCATCTTTCAGCGGACATTGGAGCAGCCGGACAAGCAGATCTATAACCTAAAATAAATTATAACATGTTAATAAATACAAAAAAAGAGAAATAGTCTCAGCAGGATACTCAAATTTATAACCAAATTATATTAAATAAATAAACACATTGTGTAGGACATTTTGTGTTTCAACAAAGTTACAACTAAATGAAAAGTTGTGTGTAATGTATATGTTTAACCGTGAGCTCGTGACTTTATATGTTATTTGTATAATTATTTAATCAAGTAAGACGCAAATGATTCACGTTGGTATGACTTTTTTCTGTTTTCTTAAAACCATGCTGTTTTAATTATGTAACCAGTTGGCAAACTGTTCATCGGGGTTGGATCAATGTGAATGTTAAAATGTTCAATTTATTATTAATCAATGTTACGCGAAAAAATGCAATAAAATCAATGGGTAATTCATGTTTTTGTTCTGTCTTAATTAAAACATAACAAACGCCCAGAACACAACATTCTAGTCTAAATGCTGTATAATACCCACGTACATTTATTCAAACCTAACTTACCAATACGGAAAAGGGTGGGGAAATTATGTTTGCTATTTAATTAAATTACCCTGAGATTTCTCATTAACTTTTGTCTGTCTTTATCGGGCTGTCCATCAACCGTCATAAAGTACTTCAGCTCTTTCAAGGCCTGAAAATAATAAGAAGCATATGCATAATGAATTAAATAAGGTGTGTTTATTAAATTTAAAAAAAACCTCACAATATATATTTTTGTCTTAATCTACTATTTTAGTGCAATATCATTAAAACACAGTGGGACATAGCATCAAACAAATACAGGCAAGACGGTTTTTTGAAGGTCGTATTCAGGAAAAGGCAAATGTAGAAATCGGTATCTGATTCTTTTGTTATCAAGATAATTGTATTTTATTACCTATTATCTTTGTCTGCAATATATGTTACAAAACCTTATAAGTAACATATTCATATAACGACTGGATACTGACATGTGTACTGGACTAGAACAAATCTATTTAATACCATAAAACATGTTTAAGCATATTTAAGTCGACATGAGTATAGTAAGAGTTTAAAAGTGAAATTAGAACTGTACCGCAATTATTCCATGTGTTTTCTTTGCGGTTAATGACGCTCCTGTCTGAAACTGAAAACAAAAATATAATACAAATGAGAATATTATTTTTTTTACATTTTCCCGGGAGATACGTTACATTAATATGTTCTACATTTTGAAGTGGCAATACATTTTTGACGTTGGTCTGTGATCAGAGAAAAACAACGAAGTAGTAGAAATGAACTGTATAAAAGAAAAGAAAAGTGTAGAGTTATATCTGATACATTTGTATTAAGTTGTTAAGAACAAAGACACAAACAATGTCAGTTCTTGAACCAATATAAGAATAAAATATAAGAATAAATGGAATAACAACTGGACTATATGATGTGAATTCTTTTCCCCATGACCCTTATTTGTAGCAGTCTAGTATTCACATATTTACACAGTGAGAGTTTTATGAAATCTTCAATACACTGCGTTATAATAAATGCCGTCGAATTCCACAATCGTTTTAATTTCTCCAGTATGCCAATCAATAAAAAGCAATTATGTTCATTCTATCTTTTATATTTACAAGGGAAATTAATTTGACTGCTTTTGGTGTTAATTAAGTTAAACAGGAAAACCACAATTGAGGATTGCCTGACTTACATCATTAATTAAATTGAACAGGAAGGGAACCATTCCAGCGACAAAATTGAAGTTCATAACGTCTTGTTTCTCAACCATCTGTATCGTATAGGCGTCATCGTACATGCTTTCACCACTTGCTGATACCTGCAAAAATATCGAAATGTTCTTGACTAAACAGAGTGCAAGGAGACCATTAAACATTATTATCGCATTCCTTAAAAATATGACTAAAACTAACTGCATTGTACCTTAAAACCTGAAAATTGATTGATGTCTGAAAGACTGGTTCACGAAAAATAAGAATTTTAACTAATTTTTGGATAAATCTCTTGTTTAACTCTACCAAGTAATTTTTCTTTCAACATTATATTGTTTTGAAGTGTTTTCTCGCCAGTTAAAATTGATTTGCAATCTAAAACCATATAGCATGTCTTAGGTTTTGTTTAAAATCATTTTTACATCTTGTAGGTTCTTTGATTATGATTTTGCTTAATAAATTTACAGGTACATTAGCACCTTTCCGTTTATCATTTGAGTTAGTCTTACAATGCATACTATTCACATTTCAAATCATTCCAACATTAGACACTAGAAGGCAGCTTTAATGTCAATATCAACCAGCATTGTCAACAAATTATTTGAAATCATATTTGTATCGGTTTTAGTTATTAAGAAATAGTGACAGACTGGTATTTTTGTTGTTATAAATTTACCTTTCTCGTAGAAGCACCGTCCCAACGTAATCCGTACATGGACATTTCCTGGTCATTACTACGGAATTCTCTTTTTTCATAGTCCTCGTCTATGTAGTTAATAATAAAAGATTACATTTATCAAAGGGTAATTTATATGAAAATGCATATGTAAACATCATTTGTAACAAATTGATGGTACATGAAGTTTTGTAAATAACGTTATGCAAAATGTCTGTTAGAAATTTAGAAGATTCACTAAATAAGAAACGTTGCTTAAAATTATATAATTGAATTAATAATTTAAAATTTGATCTTGTCATTAATACAGGACGCACATTTTTTTCAAGTATTGCATTATGTTTTTTCTTCTAGTAAAGACTACATTAAATTGGCTTTTTAAATATAAAATGCTTCGTCGATATCGAAACACTTGACCTTTACCGCTTTGGGATGAAATCCCGCTATCCAGCAAGCTTCTGAAAAAATGCTTGGAGAGGTACCTGAGGTCTAGCTTGAAAGTCGTCATCTGATTGAAATGTGTTCGTGTGACTTAAAAGCTAACAACCAAACCACATGAAAAAAGACAAAAACGGTGTTTTAAAAGACAGGCTTGGAAAGGAAACTGTAGGAAGTAAGAATAGTTGATATACCTTTTAAAGCATGAAGCCAACATCCGGTAAGGACATGTTCTATCCGAGCATAGCTCTCATATTGTATCTCGTCTTGTTCCTAAAATGATGTACACTCACTTTTATTTACAATTTAATGAATTGATAATGTCAATATTTATCAAAGCTTTTATTTATTTAATAGCATTTTGTATGTATAATTATTATTTCAGAAACATCAGAATATCTTAAATGGAATTGCACATTTTTCAATCTGGACAAAACTTTTTATTTTGGACGTAATCAGAAGAGAGTTAACATTGCATTGAAAACAATGATATAATGATATCGAAATTCCTTGAACACCTGGGTCTAGTAATAGACGTCACGCATAAAAAATGAATAAAAAGAATAATTACATAGTGATATAATGATATAATAGTTATCATCGTTGATGTAACTTCAGTAAACCGGAAACATAATAAGAGATATTAACGTCCGCTTCTTGATATCTCAGTTTGTCTACGTACTTGGCATACGCCAGGATATATGTTAACGAGCGTTGCAAATCTAATCGATTCTGATAATTAATTAGAAATTACACGAAACCCACGCAAAAATATAAATCTGCTTTAAAATATATGGGCTCCTGGCAGATTCATTTTATACGAATGTCAGAGTTATGCACGTGCATGTCCCATGTGAGCAATAAATTAACTGGAATTAATTGATATTTTTGTATTAATTAATCAGCCCTGCACTTCACGGTCGGTACTTCCCTTTATCTTTGACAAGAAACATATGTAATTGTAATTGCTGTTTATAGCTAGAATGCCATACCGACGCCAATGAATCCGTACTAACAAGAACAAATTATACAGTTGGCACAAAACTACACAAAAATAAAATAAAAAAATCTTTATTCGATATAGCTTTAGGTTACCCAAACACAAAACATAACATCAAAGTATTTAGAAACACGAAAAGTGCGTTGACATTATCTTCATATTGTTGTTATTTTCGAGTTTCAAAGTGGGAACACATAAATGATTTCCGAGAAAACAAGACATTTAAAATCTGTGAAATTACATAACAAAATAACAAAAAGAAAAACAACAAACAAACAGAAAAAAACAACAACAAAAAACAACAGAAAAACAAATAAGGACGCAAAACATGAGAAAATTGGTGACTAACATTTTGATACACTTAAAACAGAATATCTAAATTTCTCTATAAAGTTATTACTGAGTCAAATGAAAAATGAAATGTGACAAGTCTTGCAAACTTATAGAAAGCTATTTCCCATAGATGTCATTCTAAAAATGTAACATCACCGTACATAAGCTGTGACTAAGATTAAGAAAAATACCTTTAAAACAGAGTGCAATCTGAAAACAGTTCTAGGATCAGCAGGGTCTGTGATGAGAGATACTTCACTGCGGGAGTCTATACACAAATATTGCCTCGTCAGCATATTTCGTAAGCGGATTTGTTGTTCCCATCTTAAAACGTCTCCTGTAAATGTATCACCTTTATGAGTTCATTGTCTCGTTAGTACAAAATATAGCAGTACAAAAACTTACAATATGATTAAATATAAGTTATAACATAAGCCATAACAAGCACCAAGTATAGTCTAAAATTCAAAATTATGCCAATAGATAAACGTTTGCAAATTCATGTGAAGATTCAGTCTTTATAACGAGATATTATTTGTTACATTTTGCTAGTTATTAGTATTTAACATATACATTTATTATACCGTTTCTGTGTAAATAGTTTCATGTTTTAATTAAAGGGACAAAATAATACAAATATCTTGAAGAAGTGCACAAAGGCTCTAACGTTATCAATGACAATCATTTAAATGTGAACAGGAATTCTTTGTTAAACTGAAAAGTTATCGACTGTAATTATTATGTACTTAGCAACAATACTTACGTGTCCCTTATCATGACAGATTATTAAGTTCAGTAAATACCCCCGCCCACACGTCTCAGTATCAAGTTAACACAATTTGCATGCAAAATACCTTTGCAGTAGATAAATATAAACTTTGCAAGATAAACGGTCCTTTAATTCTTATTAAAACATTATTAAGCGTATGGTGGCGATACAGAGATGATCGTACTAGTGTAGTAAAAACAATGGCGATCCTAAATTTACGTGAAATGGAATGAGTTCAAAGTTATTAGTGTATCAATTTGATAAAATTGTTAAATCTGTTGTGGATTTTTTTCGATATGAACGAATTAGGATATTAACACCAATTTTACACGCTGATTGTTAATTGAAACAGTGTAATAATATCAGTTATAAATCTCTTTTCTCATAAATCAGCATTATCCGACATTAGGAATATCACCTCAAAGGAATGTGTCCACTTGGAACGCATTCGCATTTCATACACGCATTAAGCAGTCAAACTGATATAATAATTTGGCGCCAGTTTATTAAAAATATCGTCACATTATAGCCCGTTTACCAGCATGTGTTTTATCTGACGGAATAGAGCATGAGAAAAATGTCATGACATGTATCCTCCAGAGAGGTACTTTCAAAGCCGGCTACCAGACAAACACAATAAAACTAGAGAAATACTGAACTCTTTGGAAATTAGAGTGTTTACAACATCCGCATATCCATCATTAACAGAATGCTTATTACATGACTTTAAATCAACCTATTTAGTGTTTATTTACTCAAACTATTAACATCCCGCTATGCTATAGAATGTCGTTTTTTTTTCAGATAGAACATTCATAACGTATTTAATAATTAACCTGTATTTTATGAAATGCACTTGGAGAGAGATTTATATGTGTAGATTAGGTTCACATGTCACTATATCCAAATTTTTCTTTTAGAAATTTATATATTTGAGCTTCAGCAAGGTACAGGAAAATACTAACAATGCCTCTGCTACCTCAACATCCCATTATCTTTTTAAAAAAACATACACAGTATTCAGACACAACAAATTAAATTGTTAGCAATTTCGATTAATGAAATAAACCATTTGCAATGAAAAAATATTTACGCAACATAAAAAATAAAGGGCATATTTCAAATTTTATCGATCGTTTTTAAATATATAAAGAATAAGGAGTTGAATATATTACCGTCCAGTATACTATGCTCGGCTTCAATCTGCCAATAAGTGATACCAGAGGTCGATGGGGACAGAGTCTTTGGTCTATGTTGGTCAATAACACGTATACGGAAATGAACTGAAAGAAGATAAGTAATTCTCTTAAATTTTGTGCTCCACTATATCATGACCTTATACATCTATAAAGAACACAACAAATTTCATTCTATCATTTGTAAACAAAATCGTGATTCTTACAATACAGATAAAGTTAATGTCTTAAATTGTTTTGGATTAAAGTATCATATGTTTGTACATTGTATATTTTATGTGTAAAACTTACCGTCTTCCGTGACCCCTTCATCAAACAGACCTTCTGCGACAAGATAAGCTTCAAGCTCTTTATGGAAAAGTCGTATAACTGAACCACCCTATTTAATACATAAACAGATAGAAATTAAGCAAAACAGTGTTACCCTGATGTATGTCGAGGAATGTCCAATTGTAATGGTATGTGTTGTAAAGTAATACAGATAAATTGAACAAGCTTTAATACTACAATCAAACTTTGATAAGCAATTCGTTTCACTAATATGATGACAAGAGGCCATGTTTCCCAAATCTAAAATTTTATGTTCACACCATATACATTTGTATTTTCAAGCGCTATATAAAATTATGTTACTGTTTATAGTCAATCAACACTATTTATAAACTTGTTTCCAAACGACTACTATTGTTTTTTAATTAACCAATTATGGTCCTTACCCTGACAAATCTCTCTTGCTCCAGGGTCTCTCTATAACTACCAATCAGCGTAAAGCTTGACCGCTCCACACCAAGGTTTAATTCTGATCTAATAAAATATACAAGGTATTTCAGTATGAGTAAATAAAACATTTAAATAACACATATTGAATTTAAAAAAAAATCTCAAAGATGGAAAAAGTGATCGTGAACGTCAGGCGATTTTTTTTATTCCAGACTGTTATGTAATTACATGCAGACTGTTTAGATAATAATTTTACATAAAACTTTATTATAGAGATTTTGGGTGTTACTGAACAATCAGCTTCGATCGTTTTTCCCAAGCTATATTGATATCAATCATATATTGATGTAACACATGTACAATGATGGCAGTTGCAAATGTTTTAATGTAATTTGGTATTTCATACACAAGGTTTCGAGAAGCTAGTGCCCTAAACTTTAAGCAAACTAGTGGGTTGATACAAAACTATTTTTACAACAGCTAGATAACAGGCTTATTCGTAAATAATGCAATTCCTGTATTACTAACATATAAGACATTTTATTTAATTTAAATTTATTTGATGCAACTCGAGTTTGAAATAACGTTACTGACCCTTCTTAGAATAGTTTACTATCCACTTTCTTATAAAATCTTATATACACATTTCTACATTTTCATATCCTTTTTATAATGATGCTGTTATATAGAAGGATTAAATACAATACAAAATCCATTTATTGCATATACATGTATATATATGGAAGCAGTAATTGCATATAGTTGAAATATTACATTATCACATTTATTTAAACAAGATTTGTGTTTAAAGTCTCAATAATGGCTAGTGTAAAACGCAATTCATAAATAAATTTATGTTCATGTATATACGACTCAGATTGTGTAATTTAGTTTTCAATTCTCGAACGATAAACACGCTATTGCTGGACTTGGCCGCAGCACTGGAAACACATTTGGAATATTGATCATACAAAGCGACACATATTCATTCCTAAATGACATAGAACAGCTATGCAGTAACAATAACACACATTATTACATGTATGAAAATGAGTACAAAAAACACAACACAAGAACATGTCTATGCCCGACATTTCATCTTAACAACAATACACGGAAATGTAATGCAACAAATTCTTCCTCACATATGATTTAAATGCATGACAAGTGATAATGTAACATTATGACAACCAACACTTGGTAAATCAATCATTTCACCAATTAAATTTACTGTTTTGACAATCTGTACACACCTTCAGAGGGGAAAACAATATATTGCTACATATATTTTCACGTTGATGCGCAACAAGACAACATTTCTTTTCACAATTACAACATTATGGTATATCATGGCAATAACAATATCATGACAATAACGTATTATACACCAATTCATTCATCCTGTTTCAGACATAATTCTGGCAGTCACAGAAAATACTTACCGCGGAAATGCACTTATTCTGTAAATCATTTGTCAAGGAATGAATACATATTTCGTACAAGTAACCTTCACTTTAGCAAATTCAAAGATAATCAGCTAAGTGTATTACTTGCAATTATCAGTAAATATTGCATACCACACTTGATTGCTTCATCATATTGTTTCATATAATATTGTTGGTGTGATATTTTCATTGTGCGATAAGCTAACTTCAAAGAAACAATTTTGTTTTTCATAATTATCATCATGTGAAACAAATCAAGAAATAATCAAATTAATACAACAATTAATTATGTAAAAGATACAAATATATTTATTGTTTCTCTGACTAAGATATATACTAATCATTGTCCATGGAAAGGTAGTACTTTAACCAACGGTTACAAGGATTATTTCAAATTTAACAATTTTGCTCTGTCTGTTGGTTTTTCATAAGAAATAGCAATGAAGATTAACTGTTACCTATTGTTACCATAGTCTCTTATCATGTAACCAAAACAGATCTAGAATAAAGAAGAAAACGGGACAGACATCGAAAGTTGTAGTCATAGTTTTAAATTCAAAATAAACCAAATGGTGGTAATTTATTTAACAGAAACAAAGATATGCAAATTACCCGTGTGACTTGTAATCTAGCTGATGGGGTTCACTAGCATGGAAATAATGTCCGGGGGATTTAACACTTTCAAACACTATCTGATCATACAGTTGAACCTGAAATGATACAATTCATAATTTTCTACAATGTTGTACAACTACTCGTATATCTAGTGCAATTTCAGAAATTAAAACATCTTTTAAAATACCTTTCAAATAGAACATTAATCAATTCATCTATTGCAAAGGTAAAAACATACTCGTACAGGACTTTCAATTATATCTAGTTTAAACAGCTCATTATTGGTATTCAATTCTATCATATAGTTCTTTATAGCAATTCCTTAGCGTTATAGTACAATTAAATCATTAATGAACAAAACGTCAGACAGTAATTTAAAACGACTTACCACTTCACCTTCAGATTTCACTTTGTATCGAGGTAATATTCTGAATTGGGCATTTTTAGCATTGAATTCGTGCAAAGACACCTTAAAATAAAAAATTAATGTTGCATTGCAACAGCTGCATATTTGAAGTTATATGAAGCTGAATAATGAAGTTTTATGCAATTTCAAAAGTTAAGCACAATCTAATAAAATATGGATGTTGGATTTTATAACTTTTTTTTCAATTGTAAATTCGTTGTAATAATTTACTGTATCAGGACTTTACTGGTGAATACAAGACATGGTGGTAAATCCTACTAATAAATACGCATTTTATTAAAATATATTTATGTTTTCTCTTGTGATTGGCTGCAGCGTTATATTTTATAATATCCTACCTATATACCTATAAAAATGTGTTTTCGTGATTTATATATATGGTTTGACTGCTCCCAGGCCACAAACACTTGTATGTGCAATATGGAGTATTATCATCATTGTTATAGTGCAACTTTATAACTCGCCTAGCGCTTTAGGTCATATTTATCTCATCCAGGCTTTATTCTCACTTATATCTCGTCAGCAACTTGTATAGCTAATAATTTATGTCTTTAAATATCTACCCACTTATTGCACGCCTACAGCTGGAACATCAATATCGATTATAACTGCATATTACAGCTATCATGTGCGGACGTTTATTACATACCTGAATGCTTCACCTGACATATCAACAACCTTGTCATCAAGCGATATCAAATCACTTAACTTTATACATCTGTGTTGATAGAAACAAGTACATTTCTCTCAACATACATTGTAAGTCGATGACATAAAGATGTAAGTATTTCACCCGGTAAGTCAACGATCACTTCACATTATTTCACAGGTAAAACAAAGGTTACATAAAGTGCAACAACAGCTTTGTAACATGCCCTTTCAAAGAAAAGACCGTTGAAAACATATACAAAGAAGATACGTTTTAAACAACTATACAAGTTTGATAATACAAGCCTTATATAGAAAGAACTAAATAAGACATATTTTTGTTCGCAGGAACAATAACCATTTAAAAGTATTACCTTCATATAATTCTTGTCTATCTGGCTTGTTTGAGTTGTGCTCATATGAACAAATTTGCTAGTCAGTATGTGCTTCAGCTGAAAATATAACATTTTTCTGGTATAAGATGTACTTTAACCTTTATCATGTCTGTTATCTGAAATGTCGATCTTTAAATCTGGACAAAACTATTTATAATTCTTAGTAGAAAATTTCGAAATAAGAGCTGATTGAATAACAGAGTGCAGACTATGATCAGACGACACAGGTGTGCCTGCACTAGTCGCAGAAGTCAAATACGTTGCCGCCAGCATGCCAAGTCTTAATAAAACGTCTCTCTTTCCTATAGATAATAACAAATATGAAATATTTGTTTGACGAATACTGATTCTGGTCAATATTCACATGCATCTGCAATTATAAAACGTTTCCAAAAGCGGGCGTTATTTAAGAAATATTTCTAAGATTGATCTAAATAAATCCATTTGATAATAAAGAATAATGTGTAAAGGTTATTCATTACCTGCACAATTTCGCCATATCGAACACGTTTTCCATGCTGTCTTTTCTGCTCCAGCTCATTGTCATTATTCTCGGCCTCCGCAGCAGACTATTGCCACAGAAAATATATTATTTATAGTTTATACACATTTAATGATAATAAGGTGAACTTGAATATTTACTAGGGATAAGCAAAATGTCTGTGAAAAAGGATTCTGGTTTAATATTAAAGGAAAGAAATAGCGACGATAAATCATAAATACCTGAAAAGTTTTCTTTGCCTTTTTATATGAAATAGACATAGAGCTATCTACATTAATTTTAACATCAAAATAAATAATATTTCATATTTCAGCAAATAACATGAGTAATACGAATACAATTTCATGTTTCATTTTTGTTTTGAATTTCTTACTTAGAACATGACATAAAATAGTTTCTTATTTAGAATCATAACTGACGAAATGGTGATGTAAAGTAACGTAAATTGTATTATATCAACTATTACATATACACAACTTATTTACGTTTCATGTAGAAAAATAATGCGAGCATACCTTTAGAATTTCAATTCGAGTTGAATAGTATTTGTACGGCTAACTTACATTTGTATATACATAAAAGTGATATTTACATATATAGTGCATTTCGCAATATTATCAATCATTATAACAAGTAACAAACTATAAAATATAATTTATATTATTTTTAACCTATCTAATATGGTATATTTACTATATAGCTTTATGTGACGTCAGAGGGTAACAACCCATAATGCCATATGGGTACATCTTAGTGACCCGATGATATAATCAAACGACACCCATTGCACACGTCGGCACCGATGCCTATCATGCTCATTGATTTCTTCAGTGCGATTAAATTAATATCACATCTAAATGATGATGACAGCACAGAACGTTCATCTTTTCATACTTACACCCTCAAAGGGATGGGACATTTATACATTGTTATTTAATAACTATCTGATCTTTAAATATGCATTCACTTACTTTTTGCAAGCAATGTAACGAATAACATAACGCCATTAATTTTGAACAAATATTCTAAATAGAATGTCAGTTTGCAATTGTAGTTACGCACTGACAACATGGGTATAAACGACGAAAACGTTGATTTTCATATTACTAGAAATACAGAATACAAAAAACAAGAGAGTGCTTGAACCAACCCGTGACAGATTAAGAGCGGCTTTGGCACCAGTCTCCAAACCCCCGTCAGCTTGTAGCGTAGATATCCATTTTCTGTACTTTTTGTTGAGTTTATACCTGTTCTGGATACAAACTTGGAACACAACCACTGCAACAAAATTAAAATTGTTCCTGTTTATTCTATCAAACTCGTCACGCACTAATGGATTCAATTACCAGTGGCTTTGAAATACGTAAACAATTTCTTTAGTTTTAAGACTCTCGGATCAATTGATTTTTAAACTTTAATCTCCACTTCAAAAACAAAGGCTCTACAAAAAACAGAGGATGTGAGGTTCAATTTCGGCAAAGGATGATTCGAAAATGTACTTATAATGTTTGTTTTAAATCTTATTTTGTAGGATTTAATGATAATGTGTTTTGTCTATTATAAACATGAATATTGATTTACATATTAAACTAAATCTCATACAGTTTTCAACTCCTTTAAATTCTAGTGCAAATAACGCCTAATATTTAATTTTTCGAGTAAAATAGCAAATAAAAATGTTATTCAGTTTATTAATATCATGTTTGAACACATAAAACATCTTTTGCCTAATTTAGAAGGGGACGTCATAAAAAACTACGTGCACATTCGGCAGGTGATTCATTATCTTAATTCTAACCATAAAATAAATGTACTATAATGTCCAATGTATCAATGCGCTAGGTTACATCAACCTTATAGGAAATACGTACTGCATCGATCCACATTACACAGTTACTTCGTATAAATTTGGGCGTATAATAAGTATAATTGGCAATCATTTCCATTAAAGCGTACTGTTTCAACAATACAATTCAATTAATCATGCAATTTTGTTTCTTTAAGTATAAACAATAAATGTTCTAACAAGCCCTGATGTAGAAACTGAACTTTTACGACATTCATATTTATTAGTATAGACAAGTTAACTATTCCTTGACTTTAAAGTGTTTATTATATTCTATGTTTCTTAATACGAAAAAAAAAGATACTTCATGCGTGAAATAATGAACAGATGGTCAGTTGGTCTTCTACTTGTCAATAAATTGTTCGATTCATCAGTTTTAATCTGTAATCGACGTAAAAACTATCTTACCATGCTGATTAGGGATGTTTGTCGGTCTGTTTCTGTCCTGATTTGTGTATATACACAGGCCATTGTCGGTCGCACTGTAAAATAAAATAATTTATAAAGACAACTTAGCTCCTTTGTGTTAGATACAAACATTTATGATAATGAACTTCTCTTTATTGAATATTATGTAATACTCTTTGGTCTACCCTTTTTAATTGGAATTCTCGCAAGTCTTAATTTCTTAATTCACAATAGCCGCAACAGATTAATAATCAAAGCACAGAAGGCGCTGAATTTGTTTGGGTCTGAGAATGTCAGAAAGGTGAAGGTTGTGAGATTATAAAACAATTTGTTTTTGTATAGTGCCACCAATGCTTTCCAGCGTTTTAATTGTAGTAGATTCGCTATAAGACTAATTGCAACACTGATATTCAATCCAATGTTTATTTGACTTAAACAATTTGAAAAAAAAATGAGTTGCCTTAACTGGGATTTGAACTCCAAACCTCTCGACCACGGTGAATTTATATGTTAACGGCCTAAGAAAACCATATTATTCTAAATTAGGGTTTGTAACGACGCTAATTTGTGTAAATAATCATGGCGCTTACTATAAGCATGTTTATCTATAAGGAATAAAACAATATTAGAAATCTCGACCATTCGGGAATTATTTTGCTTGAAAATTAATGCGCCTGTCATGTGACCATATTTACGCAGTGATCTCCCCTGAATTTTTCGGCCTAAGTGTTACATATAAAGGGAAGTAACCGCTTCAAAAAAGCGGACTACTTTCGGCATTTGCAATTAACAGCATTAGAGTCTGAAATTTCGCTACCATTATTTGTTTGGTCTGACGACCCAAACAAATAAAAATGAGAGCTAACTTATTGGTTAATGTATCTATTCTTAAGCCCGCGAATCAGAGGGTTAAACTGTTCTCTGGCCACGACCTTGTTTTTATATGACAAAAATAGTCATGTTAGTTCCAAAAATAGGACTCGGAAGTGATTCATATAAACATCAGGCTTTTCTCACAATCGAACTAAAATTAATATGATTTCACTAAGATTCAATTAAACTTAACAACTTTCAGTTCGTGTGATATCTTGAAAAAAACTTGGGTTTTTTATGCCATGCGCGTTTGTAATCTATGCCTGACAAAGATGTGTGATTATTAAACTTATATAATATATAATTGATACAAGTATAAACACTTTTCATTTTCGGACTAAGGCAGGCCAAACACACTTTTCTACTTTGCAATGACAATTATAACCATAGTCATCGAAGCAGACGATACACCAATCGTTATGGGGAAATATGGATTTATTTACAGTTTCACACGACGACAGATTGTAACTGAAATTAAGATACATAAATACCGTGCATGTTTGGCACAAACTCGCTATTTGTTATGTGTTTGTGTTCTTAAGAGATTAAGTCTATATAATGGCGAAGAAATCACTGAAAAACACGTTAATGTCAAATAGAAAATGATAAGAATTACGATGTAGGAGTTGACTACTGCCCTAGTATTTCAAGGATATCAGTAAATATTTAGTAGTATGAATAATTATGTTTCTTTACTGGAACAGTGGCAACTTCCATCGTTAATCAGTACTCATGAATATTCTCTCAACCGACGAGTTGGGAATAAATACAAAGAATGTATATGTTTTGTTTTGATATCAATTTATGATTAAATAATCAGTAAGTTTTAACATATATGTTCTATTCAATATACATTTTGTATTTAATAATTGCATTCACACTTCATTTCAAATTTAGAACTTTTTAAGTCTATATAATATTTTACGTTGTAACATCGAGTTTTGATGGTACTTTTGTATTATTTCTATTCTCGGCTGCTGCAAGTGTATGATTTTTAAATGAAAGATGTTTGCAGTACTCTAAGTTAGTCATGACAACTTTGGACAGGTTATAAAGCCGGTATAAACGGTTATTTGCTATATAGCTCCCGACTATAGACGCGAGTTATAAATGCTTATAGCAGTTTATACTTGGTGATAAACCTGTCACAAGTTTTTATAACTAATAATATTAGAAATGACCACATAATACCAAACTTTTATACGACTCTATATAACTCAGTTATAACTAAACACTGAACAAAAATGATTTCAGTTAGAGAAAATCTTTCATAACTGAAGGTTGGTCGACAAGAGCTGAACCGACAAGGCTATGTATAAAATGCTATTTGACAAAACAATCATTTTAAGCATACGTAGAGATACTAATCTTTTAGATATTTTATTTATCTGTACGGAATGTACTTGATGCAGACATAGACTAAATCAATGTAACTCTCTAATTGACCACGGTAAATGGTTATCAGAACCAACCGTGTAAGTTGTGACGTACTAATTCTTTTACGCCAAATAACTTTCTGAGTGAATGGTCTCACGTGCATTGAATTACTGCTGCATTTCATCACCAAGTTATATCTACCCCTACCTGAGAGAACTGGTTGTTCAAGCATTTCACATTGCTGATGGGATCATTCATACGTAACATTTTGGCATCAAAAACGTAAATATACATCATTTTAAGCCTAATATGTTCTTAAAAGACCTGCAACTAGCTGACAATTATTGACTTGTTTATACAGCAAACTTGATGTACTGATGTATTCAACCCAAATGTCAAAATGGCCAAAAAGCACTATATTCTCTCTTATATGTACGAAAACTGACTAACAGGGATGTGCAAACAACAAATATTGTAATTTAAACATTCACATAAAACACAACTAAGAAACATTTGATATTGCAAAAAAAAAGAGCAAATGCAGACGGCACAAAAGTAAGCAAAGTCAGATGTCAGAATTGCCAGCAGGTTTTTATTTCTTATCAAAGTGCAGACTAATGAAGCGTTATCTCATCCTCTATGATTTAAAGAAACAGTATTAATGTTCCAAGCTTTCATTTTTGTTTTTTGTTATATTTTGTATAAATTGGAAAAAGGAGAGAAGAAATATTTCACTTCATAGCATATGCTTATTATTTCCTTACTTTTGTGTTCCATTTCTTCATCGGTTTCGCAATAAATCATTATCAAAGTCATGCACTTTTTATGAAATACACATGTTTTCTCATTAGCGTTATAAGACTATAAATCAGATACTATTCCGATAAAAAAGTGAGGTTTGTAGTGTTTGAAGGTGTTAAAACATCTACTTGGTTATACCAATTTGGAGTAATTATTTGAAAATCTCAATGCTCGTTAAAACTATGAAAATGGTATGGAATCAATTTAATGTGTTAAATATTGTAATTTAAGCGATAATGCACACTATCTAAAATATAAACCTTAATATCTAATCTCTCTATATTTTTTTTCGTTTATATCCTTTTTCCTCATGTATTTACTTTAACAAGTTGATGATACTGTTCTATTCTAACATATGTATTATGTATGCACAAATAATTCTGTGGAACGAAGTAAATGGATCACCTACTCGAGGCATATAATCTATTCTTACCACCAATGAAACTAAATTTTACAGAATCCCCGGAATGTGGTTTTCCTACTAAGTCAATTGTTATATCGACAGAGTTATGAATATGTTTGTGTGTGATTTCGTAAGTTTGTCAACAATTGGACCTTCGACGTTTGGACAGTAACACATACGTTATAGCACTGATAACAGGCGACTTTATAACAGATTGCAACTTCCGTATGGTATTAATGCTTATGTTAATGAGATGACAAAATATTTGTCATGAACTGGGCTTTAGGCTATTTGAATGCGATAACAAAGTCGCGCGGCATAATCAAAATAATCACTTATACCATATTCAAATTTTGCATCTGCGTGATCGCTATCTATAAAATTTATTTACATACTTTTTACCAGTGTCTTTAATACATACAACACAGCTATGGATTTACATGAAATGGTGTTCACCTTTTTATCTATTGTGATAAATGAATTGTAGTATTTTGTAGCATTTTCACGTGTTTGTAATCATTTTTGGCACCAAGATGAAATATTGATTTTAGCTTAACGATACAATATGTAATTTTGATCTATTATAGCTGCAAAAATTGACATCAAGGTTTAAGTTTCACTAAAATTGCATTATATTATCAATTACGTTTTATTAAAGTCAGCTGAACATCTGGATGTCAAGGTGGGTTTTGTATCGGATTAATACAAACACATTTCTCGTACAAAAACAAATGTGTTTCAAATTAAACTTAAATTATTTCGTTCACGGGAAGGACTGGTAGAAATAAATAATGCAGCGTTTGAGTTCAGTCGTAATAAATCTATGCTCTTGCAGCTTAGTAACGTAACGTATTTTTTAGTGGAACTTGTAAGTTAAATGTTTTTTGCAATGGAACTAGTAACGTATTTTGCAGTGGAACTAGTAACGTATTTTGTAGCTGAACTGGTAACGTATTTTTGCAGTGGAACTGGTAACGTATTTTGTAGTGGAACTGGTAACGTATTTTGTAGTGGTACTGGTAACGTATTTTGTAGCGGAACTAGAAACGTATTTTGTAGTGGAAGTGGTAACGTATTTTGTAGTGGAACAAGTAACGTATTTTGTAGTGGAATTAGTGTTTATCATAATTTGAGACTTGTAAATTTAGTAAAGACTACAAAAATGCATTTGATGGTAAAAAATTTTCAAAGACACTAGCTTACCTGTACAAAAAAAACTTTGCATGTTAAATGGTCAATTACGTTTACATTTCATACTTACTAACATTTTTATTCACTTCAGTTTGTTATGAGACAAAATTATGATTAGGAATAATATTAATTGTATGAGTAACAAACGCATCCATTACCAATCTCAGTTTTGATAATACGTTTATCTTTATCATAATTCTAAAAGAAATGAGATAATTTTTACATGTATACTTCTAGTGTCACGTTTTCCGCACCACACTATTTTCCTATACACACCACGTCCTGTTCTTAAGCACGTAAACCTAAACCGTTAAGCTTCTTGCAGCTATGTTTGTAAATATACCGGAAAACTTTGAAGCAAAACTTATATATTCTTTCACATTATTTATCATATCAGCAATCATGCACTTTAAATCGTTTTCAAAGTTACACATTTTATTTGTTCAAGACGCGGGCTGTTACATCTTATCATAAAATCTCAGAAATAACTGTAAACATTTTTTCCGCTACAATAATTTCTCTCATTCTACACCGATTAATGTATAAAACAATTATTTTGACAGCCGGATATTTATTTATGTGTGGCAGGCTTCACTTTGCATCAATATTTACAGATGTTATAAGTGATTATTACGCATGCAACTTTTACAGAGGTAGACCTGAAATGCAATGTATCATTTCTGGTTAGAGAAGAAAAATACAAATACATAACCATTTGTAATGTTTATCAGCATATTTAGTTGTAACCCGAGATCGGGACTGGAATTGGTTTGTTAACTACATTTTTAGTTCTTCAGTAAGTGATGTATTATTAGATTTCTATAATGACCTGCCTATTAAATGTGAACCTTTTCTTACTTTCAATTCGTATATTCTTACGTTTTATGGAAAACTGGAAAACATGAAGCTATATAAAGCTAAAATGTAAACTTGTTTTAGTTTTTCCATATCAATAGAACATCTCACAGAGACACTTATTTGGTTGTTCGAACTTAAAAGCCAATATTATACTCTTATGTATGTGAATTAAGGAATAACATAATGGAAGTTTTGAAATATTTGCGTATAAACATTGCAAACAAACAATGGAAAAAGAACAGAACAGCAAGCGGTACAAGAAAGGCGTATGTATTTAAGAAAACAATTCTAGACCTTACAGCTGAATCAATGCATAACAGATGAATGACGAAATATTACAACTAGAATTCACGTAATTCAGCGTAAATTTACAATTATCCTTGTAAAATAGATAACCCTATCATTACATCATACCTGGACTGCTCACTGTAAACATAACCTTCTGTTTCCTCACAGTACAAACATATATAGTCCCCTATACACAGGTACTCTCCCATCACAGGGTCCTGACCAAATTCATTCAGCTGAAAATAGAAAGATGAAAATGGAACTTCATATTTTTTACCGAGATTCCTGAACTAAAACTAGAAACTTTCAGTCACAAAAATCAACTAAAATAACAACAAAAATACAATTTGTACATTTTGCAATATTATTGTTGTTAGGAGAACTGGATGCTATTTTTAATAGTCAGATCGGTTGCATTATATCGAAGACGCGGACGTCTTTCATTAAATTTTGTTTGGTTGATTATTTTATTACCTGATTGGTAGAGAAAAATATGGTTTTAGTTTCGTACTTTAATTTATTTGACCATTTTTTCACAATTATTACAGACCAAACCTGCCAAACACAGTCTATACTAAAATAGCCTTACTATAAGATGCTATATATTAGACTTACAGACGGCTATAATAGGTAGTTAGGTAAATTATAGACTACATTTACACATAAACGAACGTTTGATATACAGCAAATGTAATAGAACCGACACTACCAGGTAAAACAAATGCATAGCAACTTTTTTTTCTCGGAACATACTTATTATGTGCCATATTATTATACATACTTACAGCACACTACTTGACAGAATATTGCGAGAAACAGATTAACAATTATCGTTTTTTTGTGTGTGACAAAGGTGGTGAGGTAACTCTTCCACATACATCGGAGACAAAAGTTATATAAAACAGAACAAAATAAAAGGGCATTGAATAGATTGATTTTACACGAGAAAAACGTGAACCTTGATTTCCACAAATATAAGTCTTAAATGTTAAAGTATATTTTCATTTTCTATTATCTTACCTTTTGTAATGTATCGAAATGAAAATAAAGAAACCAAGAGTTTTGTTTTCAATTCTAGAGACCGCAAAATAATTATATAACCTCAAATGAAAATTGAATTCCTTTGAAATTATGGCACACAATACTGCCAAGATATGTTTTTATTGAGAACGTAAACAAACATGATCATGCGTGGTTCTTCATTGAGAAAAGAATTATCAGGGGACGTTATTAATTACACATAAATCTGCTGTCTGCAGAAACCATCAATACCCTCACGAGATTTTTTTGCAGGGAATATCATTGTACACTTGGGCATTTTTTCTGTTGGTTGTATGTATATACGAAGTAATACAATCAGCTAGCAATAAATATAACTTCTTAATGTACATTGACAAGGAATAAACAGGGTGTCCGCTTTTTGGTTGTGCAAGCATATTTGACTTAAAAAATACATTTTGAAATAACAATATTGGCAAAAAATATAATATATAATTATATTAACCCTTCAATTGTGAAGTGAATATGCCCGACTTTAACTTTAGGACAGTCCATTCAAAGTTTATGGGATTTCAACAATCAATATACATGTATTGTTATGCTGACAGGAAATCACATTAGCTTGCTGTAACCATTTCTTATCAATGTATTTTATCCTATCACAAATCATTGAAATAAAATACATTCAGAATTAAACGACTGAAATAAATAAATATTTATATGTCTGATATAAATAGAAAACTGGTTCATGGAAATAGCCGTACCTTTTTTTTAAAATTACTATTATCATATGAGCAGACTCCGTTGCTTAAATATAGAAGAAAAAGGAAAATAGAAGAAGAAAAAACATTCAAAAACAAAAGTTGAGAAAGTTTATTTTACTTCTGTCTAAATAACAACAACAGTGTAAGTAAGCGCATCTTTCAGTTAGAGAAGACTTTGTCTGCTGCGAAAATTAGTTACACGTGTACCAACAGACGAGATTATAAAACATTCATTCTTAAAGATTTTATAACTATTTTGTAGGAGTACCATTAATATTATATTATGCAGGTGGGTGTTGAACTTGGCATCATTTAGTATAATTGTATTAAGTTAATCTTTGCCGGTGTACAGGCTGGTATATCTAACTCTAGTGTAACGTTACGGCGGAAACGAGGATATGTTGAGCTTAGCATAGAGCTATATATTCCCAAGTGTGATTTTATTCTTTTTTCTTGTATATTACATACAAATCATATTCCGTAGGATTACGAAAACTTATGCTTTTTCTTTTAAAACCTTTTCCCATAGTAGCGTATGACTTTAAAACTTCAATCATAACGGTTAAAATAACGTCCTTCTTAGCACGCAATGCGCACGAGAATGACGTCATTTAGATAAATCTTAAATAAACATTATAATTATAATAAACCTTATACTTAGAGTACTTTTTTGAAAGACCTGGGAACCTATTTATGTATAGAATATGTTTAAGTTACTGTTTCTAAATACATGAACAGATATATAAATACGTAATTCTCAACCAATTTAACAGTTAAAATAAAAAATTAAGACAATATTTCTGAAAGAAAAAAAAATACTGTACTAACGATATGAAACAATCTTTTTCATTTACATTGATCATTGTTATGCGTTTAAATAGACGCAAGGAACTGTTAGAACAAAATATATGTTAACGAAGTTATAAAAACTTAATTAAAAGTATTTAAGCCTTTTACTTTTTAACCATTTTGTGTGACACCTCTAGATTTTCTCAAACACATTTAAAAGGAACGAACCTCATTGTCAGTATTAGGAGATCTTGTATGCCAGGCCTTCATCCTCATTTTAACACCTTATTCCCTAAAAATATTCCCTTGTGATGCCTTTTTTACTTATACATGTATTAAACACATTAAAATATCCGAGGTATAGTGTTTAAATCCAATGAAATAGATTTTATTATATTAAGAAACGCGTGCTTTTATTATTATTAAATACAAATATACACGATTTTAACCATCTGAAAAACACAGACCGATAAAAACATTTTTATAAAAACACATTTTTTTTCGTAAACGCGCACTTTCGAAAATTTAATATAAAATGTCACGTTTCATGTAAAATTTTTATATTTGTAAGTTGATGTAATTACTCATATTTGTGACATTAATATATGTCATCAATAACGAGACAATCATTGTCTTGATTAAAACTGAAAACATTAAATCTGAAAAAATGACTATTATAAAAACAATTTCAAACAATCTTTTCAATAACCTTGATTATTGTTCAAATAGACGCAATGAACTATTAGAAAAAATATACTTCATCGAAGTTGAACTAAAAACTAAGTTTAAAGCATTTAAGTGTTTTTTTCCTTTTAAACATTGTTTTACCAAAATTGTGCTTATTTGTTCAAATATCTGGTCAAACAAACAAACTTTAACAGTCATGTTGTTTTGCATTAACAGTTTAGTATCCAAAGAAATTGCTCGTATTTGACCGTTACGAAAGACTATACTTATACAATTAAATTTTCATTAGGCGATATACAGTTATATCAAAATCCGAAACGTGCACATCCAAAACGCTTGAGAACGGTCAATTTTTGCGCAATATAAAGTATTTTTCTTTAAAATCCATATCGTTTTACTCCGGTCAAAACGTCGTCAACAAGGCTTTTTACATTTCATGTTAAAATCCAAAAATTGCTAAGCCGGCCACAATCGTAAACTAGTTTTGATATAGAATTGTCTCAAAAATGATATTTTTTCAGCAATCTATTGTGCTGTGAAGATAATAAGCCTCAGAGGTGCCCAGCTGTTCTAATAAATAACAATAGCGGTAAAGAGATCTTTCATGACATAGTTAGAGATAATTGTATTGAATTATAGACGCGATAATTGTTGATTTTATCTAGGAATTATTATAAGATCAGATTTTTATCGCGGGAAATCAGTATAATCATCGATTATTTGTACTTTCAGCGTTTCGCCCTGGGATAACTTGACCTCATATCATAATCTGTCCAATAATGCATGTCCTTAATATATGCACTTTGCTGAACTTATTTTAGGATGATAAATCTCGAAAGTCACTTATTTATGAGTGATCTCCCTTTGCAAAGCCTCATTAATTTTCAGTAGAATATTTCGAATATAATAATTTTATATTATGGTGGGCAAAACACCATCTACCTTGACTTTGTTAAAGAGAATTATAAACAATATTTGTAGATTATCTACGGTTATAGCAATTAAAACCTGTTCCGTCATCGATAAAGAACATATTGTCCAGAAAGTTTGAACATGACACGTCAGCAATATTGTTCTGTTTATACAGTATGACTATAGTTTACTACCGCATACATATTGTTTATGTTTTATAATTGCAGTGTGAAGCTTCATCATGAATTCATTGTATTCCTGACCTACGCAAAACCCGAGACATATTAATCAACAATTTTTTTTTTCAAAATAGTTGTTATTGATTTAGTTTAAATATTTTATTACAGCTAGTTTGTGATAAAAAGCCAGTTCCACAAATGTTGATATGAAATGAGGACACATGAATATAACCGAGCATTACTCAAACCCACCCCTGTGTTGAGGGAAAGTCATCTTTAACCATAGCCACATAATATAAAATTGGGCATACGTTCATGTTTTCTTACTTCTGGAGTGCCGCCGTGATACAATTGTACACATTATTTCAAAATGGCATAGAAAAACAAACATTGTGTTTGAAAACTACTACAAAAATATAAATATAGTTTTGAACAAGTATTAGCATAAAATGTGTTTTTCATCATATTGGTATTGGAATATATATATATTTTTTTCACATATATTATTAGAAAGACATGTATATATACATATACGAAGATGAACTAGTACATGCACTAACATTTTACCACTCCGGTGATCGGTGAATTCATTATTTATTTATATTATAATAACAAGAACCATCATGGACATAACTTAATAACTGTTATCAAAACAAAATCGGAGAAATACAGCGCCTTATCGTATACCTTTTGTTTTCCAATATTTGTATGCACTGTACAGTCTCTTTATACAACTATGTATAAAACTGCTATCTTTCAGACATATCTTACTGGTTGTCAGTCTGATACTTATGCAGGAAAATGCACTTCAAGAAAGTATGCATGGTAAATAGTTTGTTCATTGGGTCAGTAAGGTCATGTGATTTTCCTGAGCGACAACGCTACTGTTAGATAGAGATTCCATTG